TACATTCCTGTTCAGTGCTACAACTGCACCTCTTCAGTGTGACGATTGCAGCAAAAATAACATGCAATGTGTCAAAAAAGAAAAAGGAAAGTAAAGATAAAGTAGAAAGTGCAATCCGTGGACTGTTTAGCTAATTTTACTTCCTTTGCGAATGAATTATTTGAACATGATTTGCAGGGTATGAATGATGAGGAGCTACGCATGTTTGTCGACGTTGACGGCACAATATCCTGGATCAAAGAGCACGAATATTCTCGTGTTGCCTTGCAATTCCCGGATCAGTTTCTTTGCTTTTCCTCAGCGATTGCAGTTATCATTGAAAAAGAATTTGGTGGCGGTGTGAAAACGTTTATTTTGGCCAACACTGCATGTCGGAGGTTCGTTTTTTCTAGCCACATTTTTGAGATTTGATCTTCGTAGTATCATTCTGATTTGGCTTGCATCATGCGAAAAATCTGCAATGTTTGAACAGGGAACATCCTTCCAAAATTTCTACCTCCTAGATTTTTGGCTTCCGAGTTAGTGACTTCCCCTGCAAAACTCTTACTGGACCATAGGTGAGATCCAGGCGTACATGAAGGCTGAATTTAAATTTGCTGAGTGGTACATGGGCAGAGAAAATTCTCCTGGAATTTTAGCCCGAGATTTTGTAATTCTTGAAATGAAAGTGCTCGAAAAAACGCATTCGGACACACAGACACACACATACAGACGCACACTCGCATACATATGTACACACAGACAAGGGCATGACAATATGCGTTTTGTTTAGCTGTTGCATAGCGCAAAACACATAAAAATGAATTGTTCAGAAAAACCTGTAACCGGTTTCCGGCTGTTGTTGTTTCTAGCATTTTTCAACTCATTCCTGATCATTTTCTCAGAACTGTGTAATTGGCAGAACATAACAAAAATAGTGTATAACATCTACCTTTGCGAATCTAGTGATACAGCACTCCAGAGTTAAGTTTAATGAGGTGTTACTTATGTTATTTGGGATTGGCACGAGTTTCATGTACAGGGTGAGTGCAGGTTTCTTTGTAGATCCAAGATATCTTTCAGATTCCAAAATCTCCGGGAAAACTGTGCTTTTGCTGACCGTCGTAAAATCTTGACACTGTAAATTCTTGCACTTATCTCACCATTTTAGCTGTTGTGTGGATGTCCTGGGGGCGAGCCAATGTGCTGCTGATTGCATCGTTCATTACGGTGATTCCTGCATGACGGGAACAAGTAATCGTCTCCCAGTGCGATATGTGTACGGCAATATGCCGGTGGAATGCGGGAAATTGCGGAAAGCACTGGAACAGCACAAAGATAAATTTGAGCAGAAATGCTGCCTTCTGTACGATGCAATGTATGCAAGTAGCGGAGGTGTGTAGTATTATTTATACCTCATGTAATACCTCACATTGCCAGTCATCAAGTGGTATCCAAGAAACGGAAAAAGTCATTCGTTCAGATAAATTCCGAAAAAATGGTATTCATATGTAGTGGAAATAGTGAATTGCTATAGAGTCTTGAAAAACAGAGCAAAACTTCGCAAACTCTGTGGGCTGTAGAAGTTGAATACCAGACAGTTAAAAAACAGTGCCGTAGCAGTTTCACTAGCAAACTCTGTAATTGCTGCTTACTATAAAAAGCGGAAAAGTGAAAATAGTTAGCGGCTGGAATTTAAAGCAAGGAATAAGGATAAACGATATGAAACAGTGGCGCATCCGAAGTGTGCCGATTGCCGATGCGAAAATGCATTTTTGACACAACTCCCTACAGGTTTTTGTCGCTAACGGCGCCGTTTTTTTTTCGACTAAAAGAAATGAGATTGGCCACCACGACTGCGAGAAAATATTCCCTTAAAATTTCAGTTTTCTAGCTTTTCTGGTTCTCGAGTGAGCAACTTATCGGCCAAAAATTTTTTCGAGCTCGTTTATGAGTACCATGCACACTTGGAAGCTATACTTGATATCACTCATTGTGCGTGGATGGGAAACATTCTCTGAATGTTCCAGCTTTCCAGCTTTACTGGTCCCCGAATTAGCAACCTACCTGCCAAAAGCTTCCACATGCCCGTATGTGAATACTGTGCGGCATGAGGATTGCAGCTCGTATATAGGTGTGGACTAAATTGCCAAAGTTTCAGCCTTGTAGCTTTTCTGGGTCTCGAGATGAAAATCGGTACAGACGTACATACAAATACACACACACACACACAAACAAACAAGCAGATAACCTCTCGACAGTATGCGTTTTTGGTTTGCATGAGTGCGGAAAATACAGTAAAAAATCATAGTAATAATTCCTTTTCCAGAACCTTACTGATATCCGGTTCCAGAACTTTACAGATATCCGGTTCCCAAGTATTTGTAACACGTAGATTATCTGTAGTTCATATTTTGCTTCTCAAACTACGCATCTGGCAACTTTCCCAGTAAATTTGACTAATGCTGTATAGTTTGGTGTTCAGCCTGCTTCTCGGATGTTCTTAACTTTAAAAGTCTTTCTGCTTTTTGCACGTGGGTTCCCTAGTTTAAACGATTCATTTCAGATAAATTATTCAAAATATTGAAAGAGTTTTTTGGCACGGGGTCTCTGTTTCACTGTGAACTTATTGAAAGGTGTGGCGCCACGGATCCCAGTACATCTGGTATGCCGATTTCTGTTTTTGTAGACTTAAATTTTTTACTAATTTGAAACCTGCACCGATGACTTCCCCAGTGGATGGTTGCGACTACCCGAGCTATTTCCGAGTGCCTTCGCTTTTTATAAAAAGTAAGCTTTAGAGAGTGTTTGATTTTGTGTGGAACTTATCTTTAATTAAATCCGCATAATTATGATATCTGTTTTGGAGGCAGTGTTTTCGTACAAACTCTGAAACATAGAACTATAACTTAGGTCATGGGAGATAAAAAAGATGCCTTTGAAAAAATTTTTATTGCTGATAAATTTAAGGCCTTTTTATAAGTGGTGGATTTTAGTTCCTTTTTTATCCAAAAACTTCTTGTGAAAATGCGAATTTATGTGTTGTAAACAGCGTGAATTAAAAAGATTAAAGGAGCCATAGAAGGGCGAGCCAAAATTGAACGATCCAAATAGGGCCGAAGAAGGATGAAATTGTCAAGTGGTTGTTTACGGCCGTTGAAAGTCCGAAAAAAAAAAGAGTTAAAACGCGTAACTTATACAGTAACCTCTTCAGTAATGAAACTGTGTGATAAGTGTGTTTAGCCTCCTCCCCACTCCGATGGAGCTTTGTGAAATAATAGACCAACAGGACTGTACGTAAGCCATGTGTAAGGTGTTATTTTACGGTGCAAATTGCCTTTATCTTTTAGATGTAGTGGGGTGATATTTTCCGATGCAGTCTGTGTTTCATCCCTTAGCTGTAAACACAAACCGGACTATGCTTTGTGAAAATTTGCACGTAAATTGTGACTGGCAGCCTTTTTTTTTTCTTGTAAGAATGGAAAAAATAAAAAAAAAAGTGTTTTTACGAGATTCATGCCTGTTGCAGATGCGACGAATTGTTTGGGACGACGAGTGCCAAAGGATGACGGTAACTGGACGGTTCTATTTATAGGTGAAGAAAGCAGTCCACTCTTACCTCTGTGGTTAATGAGCAATCTCAGCTGCACAACTCTTTTCACATTTTCTCCCGTTACACTGCAGTGCTCATTTTCGAGGTGCGTGGTATAAGTTATTTTTGAAAAAAAAAGACTTTTTTTTTTTTGAAATTCAATATTTGGCCTGATTTTTGCAGCTAAGTATTCATCTAGTAGCTGAAACTAGGTTTTATTGAAAACTCAAAAATGAGCATTTTTTTTTTTTGGAACTCTATATTTTCGGGTAACTAACCTCAGAATTTCCAATATTTGCTTGGATAGTTGGGCTAATTGTATTTTATAGCCTTTTCTGTAAGTGCACAGATGGCAAATTTTTCATTTGCGTTGACCAATGCTGATTCAACACCTACTGGTCAACATTTGGACGTTCCTGGTGCCCATTTCGTTTTTTGAAGGAGACAGAGATTACTAACTTGAAGGTTCTTCCAACAGAAGCACCTAGCAGGGCCTTCTCCTTTTCAAAATATGTTTGGTCTTGAGCGTCAGCATCTTGTCTAGAAAATCAAAACTTTTAGAGAGTAAGATACCTTACGTATTAGGGGTTGTAAAAGTTCGGTATGAAAATTTATATGAGCAGCTTTGGTACCTTCAATTTTTATTATACATTTTTGCAGTGCAACAAGCGGTAGAGCGCTGCAGCAGGCAGCAAAAACGCATTTTGTAATGACTCTGTGTGTGTATGTTTGTGTGTATGTGTGTGTGTGTGTGTCTGTGTGTGTGTCTATGTGTGTGTGCTCGGTATTTCTACCTGGCAGTCAGGTGGACTTCGATGCTGAAAATTTGCCAGTGTGTTCCGTGGCCAACTGCAGCTTCAAGAACGTAATATCAATTTTCGCGCACGCCTGCGTCTCATGTGCGGACAAGTGAAAATTTTGGCGGAAAAATTGCTAACTCCAAATAAGTGAAAGCTGGAATTTTAAGCGAATGTTCCCTGTCCACGTACAACTTAAAAATTTCAAATCCAGCCCTCAGCTATGCGTAATTCCCACGCACGGGCACGTGATTTTTTTGGCGGGAAAATTGCTATTCGGAACTAGGTCGTCCGGATAATTTTCAACGAACAACCCGCTCAATGGAAATTATTCATTTCCCTTTATGCAAAATTTACGGTGATTTACAGCAATAAGTGCACAACTTGAATGTAAAGCAACAAACATTCACAAAGTTAACGACCTGGTTGCTTCAAATTTAGCGCAAAAACACATGATTGCATCGACAAGTTTGGGTTTATGCATGTACTGATTTGACCTAAGTATTTCTGATATATTATATGCATAGTATTTAAAGCCAGGCATACCGTGTATTTTCACGTTTTGGAAAAATCCGTTTAGGACTCATGCCAGTGTGCATTTGCGAAAACGATTACTTTTGATCGAAAAATTGCGAGATGCCCGAACGGTTGGTATTGTTGTGAATACGCTGGATACGGTTGGATATGGAGAAGCTATAGAACGAACAAGGAAGCTCTGTGCCGTTGCCGGGAAAAAAAGCTACACATTAGCTGTCGGCCAGGTACTATCTTCAGGGACCCGATTTATTTATCATGCCGCAACGAATGCCTTCGAGCTGTGAATTGCGGGAAAATGCTCAAATAGTTCAAATCTAAAGAAATTTCAGATAAACGTACCAAAACTGTCGAATTTTGCTAATGATGTAGAAGCATTCGTTGTGCTTTCGTGCCCCTATGGCGTGATTTTGGATGTTTCTGATTATTATCGTCCAGTTGTAAGCCTTTTCGAAGCAGAAGTAGCCCTAAATTCGAAACACTTGTGGTTAGCTGGTGACGGATGGACCGCTGAATTCAAAAATTTTATCCACGGTAAGTTCAAAAACTCTCTACTTATTCGATTGTTATTTATTAGAAAGTGAGGACAAGGGAATAAGCCGGCTTGGGAAGAATTGACGCAAGATTTGAGAAAGTGATTTGAGAAAGGGATGAAAATAAATCGTAAAAATTTAGGCGCTTTTTGTCCAATGCGATGTTTTTATTTGAATCGTGTTAAGTAAAAATCCAAAAAGGAGAACCTTTTGTGCGTCACAGCAGCATAGGGGGGGAAGGATATTAGGAGAAAGAGACGAAGTTTGGCTTAGTTATGCCATCCAGTACCGGTTCAGCTCCTACATTTCCAAATTCCATCTACACACAGAGCCCAAACGGCCCGTTGGGTCTTTTTCTTAAGAGACGCAATTTGGGAACTGTTATACTTTGAGTTTCCCGAGCTGTAAATACAAATGGACAAGAAGCTTGCCTTGAATCTGTGAATTTGCTTTAGTTCGTTAGCTTTTTTATCTGAGTTGTGTTCTTGATTTACCTGCAAAACTTATTTAGCCTATTTGAAGAATGTTTGTTTCAGCGTTTCTTGACACTGTATTTGATTGCAAACAAAATTCGTATATTTTTTCAGATGAAATAGGCAAAACGGCCGAAGAAAATACGGAGATGAGTCTTGTTACGGGTAAAATTCGCTCAATGGGTATTGCGGAAGTTGATAGCAACGAAAATTCTTGCACCGCACTATCAGCGTACTCAGCCGGTAAGCATTCACTCATTTCCCATCG